TGTTTCGTTCCAATGATTATCTTCGATATTGTTGCTTTTCCAATAGGAAAAAGTTTCTTCTGACGTGGAGAATATCGAATGGTTCGGATGCTTCACTCTGAGACAAGTCAGTACCTCTTGTGCGATTGTATCCAATGATGCACTTACATTCGTGTAACATACATCTTTTCGAGGTTGAATACGTTGTGCTATGAAAGTACAAATTTCTTCTAAAAGCTGTTCTTTTTCAGGTTTCTCTATATATCTGTCCAACTTATTTCGTATCGAAGATAGCTTTTCATAATGAGACATTTCTATATTGCAATATCTTTCGATTGATTTGCGTTCAATTCTGTTAAAAAATTTATATATCGAAGTATTAACTAATGAATAAATACATTAAATTGTGATAATAGTAGCTCTATAATATATATGAAGATATCCTACCGTGGAGATTGTGTAAACGAGCATTTAATCTCCTCAAAATAAAACATACATTTCAGCACATCTATAGGCTTATATATACGTTTAGGAACAAGTTGATTTAAATATTCATCGATTTTACCGCAGAATTTTATTACATTTTCGAATGTTAATACATTAGCAATTGAGTCATCAAAGTAATTTTGATTTGATGTATTATTATAATAATAATCGTAAAAAAGGATTAGAGACAAATAATTTCGCAATTGTATCACATAATTTATGCCTTTTGTAACAAAGTTTATGTTTTTCCATCCTTTGTTTCCTTAAGACTTTCATATTTTTTCTTTGCATAGGGCCATCTAAAATACGACCATAAAATACTGTAATAAATTTTTGATAATGATACTTAGTGTTGTGTCAAGATTATTTTAAAATTAGCTAGATAAAGATGAGATAGAAGTATGTAAATTCGTTTTACAATTAGATAGGATAAAGATAATCATCTAGACATTGATCTAGACAAAATATATAATTATATGGCGATATATCTAAATAATTTTTTAGATAATAATATTTAAGACTGCTTATGTAAACACAGATATACAAAAAATATAAATTATAAAAGGAATACAACAGTATATGTATTTATATATTTATTTATAAATTTATATCGTTTTAAGTATGTCTACTTTAAGTATTTTAAATGCTATGACTCTACACCAAAATGATCTAAAAATTGTTATAGATAAATTATATAGTAAAGATAATATTTTTTTATCTAAAATGCAGATATATAAATAATTCATATTTTTATTATCTATATGCAAATAAAATGACGCCACAGTTTTTCTATTTAATTTTATTTAGAGAACAAACAGCAAACTTTGATGATAGTAAACAATGTGATTGCACAAGTTATTTTCAAATTAATAAATTTTTTGAAGTATACAATTCAAAGCATGAGTACATATATGTCACTTCTTTTTATACTTTAATCGAAAAAAGAAAATATATAATAGTCAATTTTAATTTGTAATTTAATTTTACTTTTCAAATTTTGATTTTAATATGTATATTGCATAATTCTATAAGTGTATTCTATATGCAATTAATAAACATTAATGTGCTTATGTGTATGTATGTATATATTAAGTTTTTTTAATATTTTGTAGAACAATTTGTTCGAAAGCATATTTACAAACAATGTCGACTGTGCTTATATATGTCACTTGGGATGTTTTTACTTTTATAAAGATTTTATAGTGATTTTAATGTTATTTATAAAAAGAACCGATAGACAAATATCAAATCTGTTTCTATCACGAATATATATCATATATATAATTTTTATATTTAAAAGTGCAATTAAATATATTGAAGAATACACATTATAATAAATAAACCAAGTTACTTTTATGTTATATTTTTAAGAATTAAATCTAAAAAAAAATTATTTAATGACTGAACATTTTTGACCGATATATATATAGACTAATTAATATTTATTTAATTAATTACACAACGTTTCATATAATTTTTGGCCTTTTCAAGTGTTACTGTTAAGTGTGCGAAAGACTAAAATTATATGGTCGAAACACCGTGGTTAAAACATTGTGTGATTAATTAAATAAATCAATTGACGAATGTCGGTTGAAAAATATTTGGTCTTTTAATTTTTGACAGCATATAATCTATTTTTCTCTATCTGTTTTTATATTATTTAAGTTTTTATTTTTTACACTATATTTTCAATATTTTTTATTTATTTTATATTTATGTTTTACGTTCTTCGCAGAAGTGATGTACATTGTGCGACAGGCGTTAATGAGACAAAATAACAAAAAGATTTACAAATCACAAGAATTATCTCTGAAATAACTTTTTTTCCAAAAACTTGTCATATTTAACTGCATCACGAAATTGCTTGCACACGCATCGAAAGTTGATGATATCTTCAATAGTGAGTACATTATCGTTGAGAATGTGGCTTATCATCTCCTCTGGTAAGCACGTTATCTTACATTCAGACATTATGAGAAACAAAACACAAAAAGGAATGTAAATTAAAGTGATTGCAATAAACTATTCGCGTAATTAATTCTTTGCTTTTTGCAGTACACGAAATGAGTCTGCCGATTACGAAGAGCACAGATGTGTGTTTGATGTACACGAGAGACGTTTTCTACACTGTAGACGTTCTGTTCTTTATTATAAAATTTAACCTTAAATTTTAAAGCATTATTGCTTGTTTTCACTAAGATATAGGTATAAGGATCTGCCACGGCATGCGCAGAAAATGTAATTTAGAACTAGCAAATTTACCATTTCTTCTATGCGCTTGAAAGATAGAACGTGGTAAATAATTTATTTATTATTTATTTTATTATCACTATTTATTTATTTATTGTTCTTTTTATCATTTTAGTTTAATTAAAATAATATATTTTTCAAATTGGTCAATTATTTTAAATTTCATTAGTTTCCATGTATTTATATATATTATGTAATATTTAAGTTTAATGAAAATAATATCGTTCAAATTATAAATTATTTTATTAAATTTTACTAATTTTTATATATTTATATTTTATACTTTATGATTCTAGTGCTGTGCATTGTGTCGACTTTTTATTTTAATTTGGAGTTGTAATAATTTTGCGTAAATCATGCATGAGAGAGAAATATGGATCGCAAATAATATGAGTTTGGAACAAAAATGAAAAAGTATTTTTACTCAACGCGTGACGTTCATTTTGTTAAACGCACAAAACTTAACAAACTTTGGCACAGCAAATTTCGAGGGGGTAACCACTTAATGTAATCGTGGGACAGTGTCCTCGAAATCATTATGAAATCTATATGAAATCCTTATGAAATCCCGTGTAATCGTTTGCAATCAGATGTAATTGATAAAGTCAAATGAAATCATGCGGAATCATTAGAAATCATAATCTGTGATGAAATTATGTGTGGCACGAGCACTTTCCGTAGTAAATTGCGATCAAATTCAAGATAAAATGCTATTTATAATTTTATGTGTCACATAAAATCCTAAATGATTACATGTGCAATCACGAAAATGCATTGTGTAATCAGATGAAATCATTACTTTTATGAAATGATTTCATATGTAATGAAAAAAATCCATTTGCAATCAGATGAAATCATTTGTAATCAGATGAAATCATTTATAATCAAATGAAATCGTTTGTAATTAGATGAAATCATGAAATCAAATGAAATCATAAAATCAAATGAAATCATGTAATCTGTGGGACAATATTTTAGCTAGTGGTTACCCCCTCGGCAAATTTAGATGCCCATATGTATTACCAAACATTTCAATGTCTAAATAATATCTTAGCGATATAATTCATATAAATATTCGTATTGTAAATCGAGGTTTTTATTTTAGCTGAGAATTTTATCTGTAAAAATTTGAAAAATGTAAATCTCTCTTTTTCTTTTTCTCGTATCAAAAATATTTTGTAAAATTCTATATAAATTAATAATTTTTATTATATACGATATATAAATTGTATATAGTAAAAATGGTACATGATAAATCTAATGAATATATTAAATTAATGTAACAGTTTAGTTTCAGTGTCTATCAAACTTTTATTAGAACACTCGAACCTTCTGTTTTATTTTTCCAAAATAAATTTATTATTTTTTAGTTAATAATTAATTAATTAAAAATAGAAAAAAAAACACTTAATTGAGAAACACATGCTTAGTGAAGGAACAGCAAATATACTTCACATTTGGGCACAGAATACATTTAATGTCATTCAAAATGTAACATTCTAGTTTCCGTTTCTTCTAAACTTCTGTTAGGACACTCATCTTGTATTTTATTTTTCAAAAATAAATTTATTAATTTTACAATAACATTTCTTCAGTAATCGAGCTATTTAATCGACTTATAATTCTCTATATCACGTTATGCAATAGTTTTCACCCCGTATATACGCGCAAGTAAAACCACATAAAATTGTCGAATGTTCTTCAAATATGTACATTATTTATTAAAAAGAAATAAAGATAGACAGGGAGAGAGAGAGAAAGAAAGATTGAAATATATTTCATAGTATAAATAATGTCGTAACAATACTAATAATTCGTATAAATATTCGTATTTATAAATTAACATTAAAGCACGCGCTCCGTACGTGCTGCGTGCGATGACCTTGGCCGCGCTGATAGCTGACAGCGCGCGACTGCGCAGTTCGAGTCGAGCTACCGCCGCGGTCGGACAATCTCGCGCGCGTCGCGCGTTTTCTCGCATCTGTCGTGTATTTTGTCGCGAGTCGAGTGATAGACGCGTGCGGAAGTACGGGACACGCGTGGCGATTGATATGTCGATTGAATCGCGATTGGAACGATGTGAAAATACGTCGCGGGTTTCGTTAATAAAGTTGAAAGTAAACTTTTTCAAACGCGACGTGTGCGCCGCGTACCGTAGTCAGTGTTCTCAACAGTGCAACCGGAAAGTGCGCGAGTAGCTGTCAGTGGTGCCACGTGTCAAACGTGAAAATCGCGCAGTCGCGAAAAGGAGCGAGAAAGTCGTTCGTCGTCGAGTGAAGTTTTTTCAAGCTACGCAAACACGTAATGCATCCAGAGTGTATATGTGTATTGTGCGTCGGAATAAATGATTGTCTACAAGGATACATAGACAATCGTCGCGGCGGAGCCCGGAATAATTTCAGAAAATGGACGCTTCCTCGCAGGTAGGAATAAGTGAAGTTTGCCGCGAATTTCGTCGACTCAAGCGACACCTTATTGCTAAAACGCAGTCGCGATAAAGACGTGCCGAGTGAAAACGAGAAAGAATATCACATATATTTGTTTTCGCGAAGGACTGAGAAGCGGCGCTTACGTATTAATAAAACTAATTAAAACTATTGAAAATAAATATTGCCTGCGAGCGAGTATAAAATCGGAAATACATATCAGAAAAGTTGTTATTAATTTTGTTCGCAGACTCGTTTCCAAATACTCTACAATCGCTGCAAAACATGTTGACAATCTCACCGTGGATTTGCGCGAACCCGAGAATCGCGTGTTTAGTGTATTTTCGTAAATTCTTCGCCAAGAATGAAGGTTTTTTTCCCCGAGTCGTAAAATTTTAAAACGGTACGTGTGGATCGCGTCGCGAGTGTGCTTGAGTTTGTGCGAATAGAGTGTGAAGAGAGAATCGGCGATAAGCAAGTGGTCTTCGTGGCCGAGCTCGGGCTGCTTCTGAGAATTGAACGAGTCGAGGGTAAGCTTGAATTTCTTGGAATCACAATTGTTATGTCTTCGTTGCTGTTAGTCTTCGACTTTTTACGTTTTTCGATCAAGATAAATTTTCTGCGGCACTTCTCGTAATATATTTTCTAAACCAAATAAATTTTACGATTATATGTATAATTATACAATTATTTATATATAATTATATATAACAAATTTTAACCGGGTTTCCGTACTGACATATAATCTCGAAAAGCTTTATAAAATCTTTAGTATTTTTTTTATTACGTTTCGCGCAACATCTGTATCGGAAAACTTGTCAGAAATTGAACGAAATATGTACAGATCTCTCGGGTGGGCTATAAACTTTGAATACTATATTCTAAATATATTCCGAGGGTATGATAAATAATCTACGCTCTTCAAACGTCTATAATACTGTTCCGCTTCTTCTCGACGTCCACGGAATCTAAATCGTTGCCGAGGCTGCCGACTCGACCTCTCAATCCTCCACCGCCGACTTGACCGATCGCTTTGAGCTTCTCTTGCATCTGCGCCAGAATGTCTCGCATTCTTCGTATCTGCGAATCGCGAATCGTCAGTTGATACAGTGCGATTGATATTTAGGAAAATCATTTTTGTCAAAATTAAATTGGAACAGGGTTGGGTAATTTTCAAATGGAAAGGATTGCAACGTTCAAATTAAATAAAATTTTTAAAATAAGTTGCACTGTGAAAAAAATTTATTAACTTGACTAAACCTTTTAACTAAATATTATTTTGTTAATTGAACATATACAAATATTTAAATTAAATATAAGATATTAAATCTATAACAAAACATATATTAGTATTTAAGTCAAATATGTATTTCGTGTTAGACTTAATATATTATATTTAATTTAAACATTTGTATATGTTCAATTAACAACGTAATATATATTTAGTTGAAAGGTTTATAGTCAAGTTAACACATTTTTTTTAGTGTGGCTTTTATTAATCTTGCGTATACTTGAAAATGTTTTTTTTTATTATATATTATTATTAAATTATATCAGGGTCTGGTAAGTTCATGATTTTTTTAAACTAAGTTAATTTAAAGTTAGTTGCTTATAAAATTAATTTAATTAAGTTGTCTGAAATAAAAATTAACTCATTGTCAGTTAGAGTGAAGTTAAAATTAAATTAACTGAAATTAAATCAAAAGTTTTTCAAAACATTATTTATATTAAATTAGAATTTTGTTTGTTGATATTTTTAAAATTTATAATAACAAATAAAGAAATTTTGATTTTGATATAGAAATATATTTTTCTTGTAATTATAATTGTGTGTGTGTGTGTGTGTGTGTGTGTGTGTGTGTGTGATGACAAATGAACAAAAATTAATGATACTTTAATTTAAAAATACATTTATAACTTACAAAAACCAATAATGATATTCAGAGATTAAAAAATTAACTTGGGAAAAAGTTAATAAGTTTAGGTCAAAAATAATTAGTTCAAGTTAAAAATTGATACATTTTACATTAATTAAGCTATGTTTAAAGTTATTAACTATTTAACTTTTTTTTAAACTTTTAACTTATTATTACTCAACCATGAATTGGAAATATATTTTCTTTAATTGTTCACTGAAAAAATTGGTTAACTTGACTAAATCTTTCAACAAAATATTATTTTGTTAATTGACCACATAGACATATTTAAAATAAATATAACATTGATATAAATCTAACAAAACGTAAATTTTATTTAAATAGTAATATATGTTTAATTAACAAAATAGTAATTTAGTTGAAAGGTTTAGTCAAATTAATAAATTTCTTTCTAGTGTATAAATGACAAATTTTGAAAATTATTTTTTAATTATACAGGATATTAAAAACTTATATCGACACATGGAGAAAGAAGACTTCAAAATTAACATTTTTTATTAATACTAATTTTCTCTATAATGTTAAATTTTAATAGGTACTACATATGAAATACGAATTTGTGACTTTTTAGTTTATCATCTGTAATAAAGTTATTGGAGGAATTTTTGACCATTTACTGTGTGTGTGTGTAAAAAGAGAGAATTATTTTTATGCATTTGTTGAACATATATTAATATTTAAATCAAATACACGTTTTTTATATTTAATGTTACATTTCATTTGAATATGTTTAATTAACAAAATTTTTAGTTGAACGGTTTAGTCAAGTTAACAATTTTTTATTATAAATATAAAACTCAGTATAAATAAACATATCGTAGAGAAAAATAGTATTAACCAAAAATTTTGAAGTCTTTTTTTCGATTTATCGGTCTAATTTTTTAATATCCTGTGTAATTAATTATATAAATAATTATATATTGTAATTAAATAAACTAATAATATCGTTCCTACCTCTTTGTCCTTCTGTAAAAAAGTCTGTCAGTATCGGATATACTGTTCTCGAAATGCGGTCCGGAATCTCTCTTCAATTTACTATTAAGAGAAAAAACAACAAGCGTATTTATCCTCGATTCTCCGAAAAGAAGACTGTAAAGATTAGCAAATGCAATTAAAGCATAAGTGACAGGAAGAAAATATATCATGCACTCTTTGACTATAGAAAATATCTATTTTACATTATTCAATTTTTCTTGAAAGGATTAATGCAAACTAATTTTCGATTTAATTACCATACGTCAGAATAATCGTACAGACTATGCGAACTCAACGCGGATGTTTGTGAATAAATCTCAATTCTAGATTTTAGTTCCTATGTTTCCGTCTGATTCCCTTAAGAAAATGTAGAAAAGCAAAATATATCGATCCAGAAGTTGCTGAATCGAGAACTTAGGAATTAAAATAGAGATTCTAAAATTGAGAACCAAGTTGAGATTTATTCCTAAATAATCTTATTGTTAGCACTATGCAAATTCCGTGCTTCGTGCACAATTATAAGACATAGGGGAAAAATTAATTTTTATTATTTAAAACACAAACCTTCGCCTTCGGCTCGCATACCCTTGTTTATTTCGAGACTAACTTTCTTATTCATTAAGTATATTTGTTCATTTATTTTTCAAAAGTTTATATTATTCACTAAAAAAAACTAAATAATAATATTTATATTTATCGGTTTTTCACTTATTCTTTTGGTAGCTCTTGGAGAGGTGCAGAGATATTATGAAATTGAAATAAATATCATTAATTTAAAAGAATTATTTATCTTATTAAATTTGTCGCAAATCTTGCGTTTCAGAATGACCTTAAATGTGTTTTATAACCAAGTGTGGAGTATATTTGCTGTTCTAAGCAGGTGTGTTTCAATTGTTTTTTTATATTTTCAGATATATAAAATATTTTGGTATAAGTCTTTGTACAATTATCTGATTTTAATATAATTTCTGATATAGAATAAGAAGGCCGCATACTTGAAACATTATGTATAAATTTCTATATGCTTTATTTTTATATGATATATCACAGATGTATCGACAGATAATAGGATGAAATTTTTATCACAGATATCGCATGCTTCACATTGTTTGTTAATACCTTCTAAAAAAATGCCACATCCATCGAAAAGATGCTCTGCATAAATGATACGATAAAAACATTCTTCGTTAATAGTTATGTTAAACTTTGTTATGATTTTTATTCCATTAAATTTATGTTCTTCCTTTGATTGTCTAACGGAATTAGTTAATATATTTTACATCATGATAAATGCGCCGCATAATAAAATCGAAGAATGAATTTATAAATTTATAAAATACAGCACAGACATTTAAATTAATGTTCAGATTATTAATTTTAATTCAATTAAATTTGTTTAAACTTATTTTAATTTATAAATACGAATATTTATACGAATTATTAGTATCGTTACGACATTGTTTATAATATGAAATATATTTTAATCTGTTTTCCTCTCTTTCTTTCTGTTTATTTTTCGTTCTTTTTAATAAATAATGTGTAAATTTTAAGAATTTCGACAATTTTATGTAATTCACTCGCGCGTATATACGGGGTGTAAATTATTATATACCGTGATGTAGAAGATTATATATTGTTTAAATCGCTCGATCACTGAAGAAACATATTTGTAAAATTAATAAATTTATTTTTGAAAAATAAAATATAAGATGAGTGTTCTAACAGAAGTTTCAAAGAAACGGAAATTAAAGTGTCACATTTTAATGACATTAAATGTGTTCTGTACCCAAATGCGGAGTACATTTGCTGTCTCATCACTAAGCATGTGTTTCTCAATTATGTGTTTTTTATATTTTCAGATATATAAAAAATTTTTTTTTGTATAAGTCTTTGTACAATTACCACATTATAATATATTTTAATTTATATTTAACGTTGTTCGTTATATTTCTTAAAATAATGTCTTATCCATTGAAGAGATCCTCTACATAAAAGAAAGATATAACTTGTTGGAATTAGTCAAATTTTAAAGTCTTGCTTGAATCTTGCACAAATTTTCAAAATCTACAATTATCATACAATATATTACACAAAATTTAATATTATTAATACGTTTTTATTGTCTCCTTCAACACAAGAGTATTATATATATTTCAAACGATAAAAATCATTAATTATTAATATATCTGTTTTTACTTATTCAAATGCAACACTATTAATTATAAATGTTTCAAATTAATAGATATTAATAAATGGTAAATTTTAATTATGTCATATTTTGCATATACTTAAAGTATTAAAAAAAAGTTCATAAATCAATTAATTTTTTTAAATGTTAAAATTTATAAATTCTACTGCACTAATTCAAATTCTTGCAATCACAATTTTTCTTATTTTATTGTTTATATTAATAAATACAATAAATATAGCAGAGAACAATAAATATATTTTATTCGTCGATGATTCTCAATTGACATTGCATACAAAAATGGGACATAGTATTTCTCTACAGAAGTCGAACATATACGTATATATACATGTATATGTCAATATGACATCTGTCTATTATATTGGTCCATGCAACTACGGCATATTTTATGTTTTTATTTATTTGTTCTACTATTTAAAACGAAATATAAGACACAAACTGTAAAATTTGTACTTGAATTGATTTTTTTGTGAATAAATGTCTTAATAAACACTTAACCACGTTAAATTATAAAAAATTGTAAATTATACATATTGTTATCTAATAGAATTGTTATCTAAAAGAATCTCACAATGTTCAATATTTTTACAATTGTATATATTATATACTAATATGCGATTGTTAGTGCGCGGATGTACTTTACTCATATTGTACTCATATTTCTTAAAACATGATGACAAAAATAGACACAGATGCAGGCTCATATACTACTCAAAACACGGACATATTATGATATCTTGAAACTGTTTGCAAAAAATGTCATTATGAGTATATATAAATATGCTCAAATTAATATAATTACTCACATTTTGCATCATATGTATATAACTTGCACTCATAATACTTATATAATGCTCTATTTAATTATCTCCATATAAAAGCAAAGCTCTTATTATATATCTTTGTTCTTTTATAAATGCGGCAACAATATTTGTTGTATACACCAACATCTAAAAAAATTAATTAAACATGAATATAAAGACGACATGTAAACAAAAATGTAATTATAAATTAGAAAATGAGAATTGCACATTTCTCTTCTTTCTATACATATTTAGTGTAATTTAAATAAGTAATTTTCAACCTTTCTAATTGTTAAGACTCGTCCCCAAATTAATGATCGATTATTAATAAGACAATTCGGGTAATCCTTGTATTTTATGTAAAAATTTCGTGCATTTTTTAAATTATTTGTGACGCTGTAAACAATTAAAATTTTTACTTTAATCATTATGAACATTTTTATTATAAAAAATTAATATGCATGCGTATAATAAAAAAGAAAGATTATTGAGAAATAATAATAATGTCGATTCTAATATATATCTATACTTACAATTCTGGTTTCCAAAATATAGAAATTTTTTCAATATCTAGTACATCGCAACGTAGACCAAGTCTTCTAGCCACGCTATGAAATATTGTATATACAATGATATCTTGGCCATGTTTACTTTGTAAAACCTGTGCCAGGTGTAATACAGGATAAATTAGTTAAAGCGACAGAATATTAAGAACAACATATAGCATATACATATATGGCTCATAATTATATATGTATTATAATCTATAATATCTTACATAATCTATACACAAACAATTGATATGTACGCGAAAGGACTTGCAGGGTCGAAAGTTCAAGGTGCCAAATATATATTCCTGGAGTGTATCCATAATCTGCGTACTTTCTGTTTCATTCCAATGATTATCTTTGATATTGTTGGTTTTCCAATAAGAAAAGTTTCATCAGACGTGGAGAATATTGAATGGTTCGGATGCTTCTTTCTAAGAGAATTCAGTACCTCTTGTGCGATTGTATCCAATGATGCACTTACATTCGTGTAACATACATCTTTTCGAGGTTGAATACGTTGTACTATGAAAGTACAAATTTCTTCCAAAGCTGTTTTTTTTCAGGTTTTACACTATATCTGTCTAACTCATTTCGTATCCAAGATAGCTTTTCATAGTGAGACATTTCTATATTGCAATATCTTTCAATAGATTTGCGATCAATTCTTCTAAAAAATTTGTATATATTGAATTATTAACTAATGAATAAATACATTAAATTGTAATAATAGTAGCATTATAATTATATATGAAGATCCTACTGTGGAAATTGTGTTAACAAGAATTTAATCTCCTTAATATAAAACATATTTTTTAGCACATCTATATGCTCATGTGTTCTTTTAGGAACAAGAAATTGATTTTTATATTCATCGATATTACCGCTAAATTTCATGACATTTTCGAATGTTAATACATTAGCAAATAAGTCGAAATAATTTTGATTTGCTTTATTTTTGTAATAATAATCGTAAAAAGAATTAGAGACAGATCATTTCGCAATTGAATCACAGAATTTATGCCTTCTGTAATAAAGTTTATGTTTTTTCCATCTTTTGTTTCCTTAAGACTTTCATATTTTTTCTTTGCATAGGGCCATCTAAAATACGACCATAAAATATTGTAATAAATATTTGATAATGATACTAAGTGTTGTATCAAGATTAATTTAAAATTAGCTAGATAAAGATGAGACAAAAGTATGTAATTTATCTTAAATAGGATAAAGATGATTTTATTTTAAGTATATCTAGACAAATATATAATTATATGGCGATATATCTAGATAATTGTTAATATTTAAGATTGCTTACGTAAACACAGTTATACAAAACATAAATTATAAGAGGAATACAATAATATATGTATTTATATTTTTATTTATAAATTTTTATCGCTTTACTGTTTAGTTTAAGTATTTTAAGTGCAATGACTCTACACCAAAATGATCTAAAAATTATTCTAGATAAATTATATAGTAAAGATAATAATTTTTTTATCTAAAATGCAGATATAAAGATAATTTATATTTTTACTATCTATATGCAGATAAGATGACGCCATAGTTTTTCCATTTAATTTTATTCAGATAACACATAGCAAATTTTGATGATAGTAAACAATGTGATTGCACAAGTAATTTTCAAATTAATAAATTTTTGAAGTATACAATTCAAAGCATGAGTAATGTATGTCACTTCTTTATATACTTTAATCATAAAAATAAAATATATAATATTCAATTTAAATTTTTAATTATCTATGTAAATATTTATTTTTGAACTACATATTCCTAAAAGTATATTAAAATTATATTTTCAAATTTTGACTTTAATATGTATATTGCGTAATTCTATATGTGTATTCTACATGCTATTAATAAACATTAATGTTTGTGTGTGTGTATATTTAAAAATTTTTTTAAATAATTTTTAGAACAATTTTTCCGAAAACATATTTACATTCAATGTTGACTGTGTTTATAAATGTTACTTGGCATGCTTTTACTTTTATGAAGATTTTATTATGATTTCAGTTATTTATTTGAAAAACCGATAAAAAAATATCAATCCTGTTTGTTTCAATCACGAATATATATCAAAAATATAATCTTTATTATATAACTAAATATATTTACTAAACTAAATATATTGAAAAATACACATTAAAATAAATATACAAAGTTGATTTTACGTTACATTTTAGTAATTAAAAATCTAAAAGAATTATTTAATGATTAAATCTTCTTCGACCGATACAGGCCAATTAATATTTATTTAATTAATCACACAACGTTTCCTAGAATTCTGTCGTTCTCAAGTGTACCGTCAAGTGTGCGAAGGACCAAAATTATGGTCGCAACTTTGTGTGATTAATTAAATAAACATCATTCGGCCAGTATCGGTCGAAAAATATTTAGTCTTTTAATTTTTGACAGCCGAAAATTAGAATTTTTCATATATATATATATATATATATATATATATGAAATGTAAACGTTAAATATAATATACTGATAAAAATTCTTAATTTTCGGCTGTCAAAAATTAAAAGACTAAATATTTTCGACCGATACTGGCCGAATGATGTTTATTTAATTAATCACACAAAGTTGCGACCATAATTTTGGTCCTTCGCATATATGTATATATGTATATGTTATTATATATGTATATAACGGTAGAGTTTGCCAAAATTATTGAGCAATAGAAAAAATGAAAGCGAATAATTTAATATGCAACATGTCTAATTTTTCGAATATTTTTTATTTATTATTTAATAATAATGTACGTTCTTCGCAGAAGTGATATACATTGTGCGACAGGCGTTAATGAGACAAAATAAAAAGATTTACACATTACAAGAATTACCTCTGAAATAACTTTTTTTCCAAGAACTTGTCATATTTGGCTGCATAACGAAATTTCTTGCACACGCATCGAAAGTTAATGATATCTTCAATAGTGATAACATTATAGCCGAGAATGATGGCTATGATCTCCTCTGGTAAGCTCGTTATCTTACAATCAGACATTATGAAAAACAAAATACAAGAAAGGAATATAAATTAAAGTGATTGCAATATACTATTCGCGTAATTAATTCCTTTCTTTTTGCAGTACACGAAATGAGTCTGCCGATTACAAAGAGCACAGATGTGTGTTTGATGTACACGAGAGACGTTTCCACACTACAGACGGTCTGTTCTTTATTATGAAATGTGACCCCAAATTTTAAAGCCTTATTGCTTGTTTTCACTAAGATACAGGTATAAGAATTTGTCACGGCATGCGCAGAAAATGTAATTAAGAACTAGCAAAAATTACCACTTTTTCCTGTGCACTTGAAAGATAGAACGTGGTAAATAATTTATTTATTAATTATTCTTTATTATTATTATTTATTTATGTATTGTTCGCTATTTAAGCTTAATTAAAATAATATATTTTTTTAAATTTATCAGTTATTTTAAATCTTACTAATTTTCATGTATTTGTATTATTTATTATTTAAGCTTAATTAAAATAATTTTATTTCAAGTAATCATTTATTTTATTAAATTTTACCAACTTTTATGTATTTATATTTTACAATTTACAACTTAGTGCTGTGCATTATGAAATGTTCTCGATAAGAGAGAAAGGGAAAGAGAGTGATTTACATTTTGCATGTTTCAAATCTTTACAAATAAAATTCTCAGTTAAAATAAAATTTCCGATTTACAATACGAATATTTAATAAATGATGCATGTACAAATAGTTTATATAAGAATATTTTACAATTATATGTAGTTTTATTCGCGCGTATATATGGGGTGTATATATTTTAGTAATCTAAACTTTATAAGAATATAAAACTTTATGGATTAAATACAAACTCAAAATGAACAGACTATGCGAACTCAACGCAGATGTTTCTGAATAAATCTCAATTTAAGATTTTATTTCCTATGTTTCCTTTTGATCTCCTTAGAAAGATGTAGAAAAGCAAAATATATCGGTCCAAAAGTCGCTGAATCGGAAACTGAGGAATTAAAATTGAGATTCTAAAATTGAGATCAATTTGCAAAATCTGAAATTATGCTAATATCATACAAAATCTAATATCATTTATAAGCTTTTATCGTCTTCTTCAATACAAAAGAATTATGTATATTTGAAAATATAAAAATCATTGTCTTTTATTAACATACTTATTTATACTTATACAAATGCAACACACTATCGATTATATATGTTTCAAAATAATAGATATTAATAGATGGCAAATTTATTACGTCATATTTTGCATATATTGAAAGTGTTAAAAAAGTTATTAAACTAATTAATTTGTTTATTTTAAGATTTATTAATTCTTCTGCACCAATTCAAATTGTTGCAGTCACAAATTTTCTTACTTTATTATTTATATTAATGAATACAATAAATATCGCAGAAAGATAATAGCTATATTTTATTCATTGTTGATTCTCAATTGTCGAACATGTATGTATATATGTATGTGTCAATAACATCCTATTATCTATTATGTTGGTCCAAATCTGTAGATTGATCTGTAGGTGGATTATATATTATGATAATTTCCACAGCATATTTCACGTTTTCATTTATGTGTTCTACTAATTAAAATAAGACAGAAACTGTAAATTTTTTACTTTGATTTTTTGTGAATAAATGCCTCAATAAACATTTAAAACACGTTAAATTATAGAAAATTGTAAATTATACATAATTGTTATCTGAAAATATCTCACAATGCCCTTTATTTTTACAATGGTATATGTTATATATAGTACTAGCGATTATGTTAGTGCGCGTATGTTTTTTACACATTACAATTCACTAATCCCAAATAGATTATTATGTGTCCATATAAACGTTTTAATACAATCTTTTATCATGACCAACATCTGAAAAAGTTAATTAAACATAAAAAAAGATTAAATGTAAACAAGAATCTAATTATAATGTAAGAAATGAGAAATGTACGTTTCTTTTTTTCTACACACATATAATGTAATTTATTAATTGCTTGTCAATTTACAAGCATATTAATGACTTAAAATTAATAGAAGTAATAAATAAGTTTCAACCTTTTCAGTTCTTATTTTGATGACGTCATGATTTGTTTCACAAGACTTGTAACCTGGTAGATAATTATGAAGACAATTCGGGAAATTTTCGTCTTCTATGTAAAAACATCGTTCATTTTCTAAATTATTCGTGACGTTGTAAACAATTAAAATATTATCTTAATCATATGAAAATTTTTATAATAAAAAATTATATATGTATGCGTATAATAAAAAAAGAAAGATTATCGAAAATATATGATAATGTCGAATCTAATATATAACTATACTTACAATTTTGATTTCCAAAATATACAGATTTCAGTGTAAACATGACTTACATCTATTAGATCGCAACGTAGACCAAGTCTTCTAGCCACGCTATGAAATATTGTATATACAACGATATCTTGACCATATTTACTTTGTAATACCTGTGCCAGGTATAATACAGAACAAATTGATCAAAACGAGAGAATATTAAGAACAATATATAATATATACATATATGGCCCATAATTATATATATTATAATCTTTAATAACTTACATAATCTATACAAATCCATTTGATATCTTCGGGTGAAAATGGGGAGATACATGCTCGAAAATTCAAGATGCTAAATATATATTCCTGGAGTGTATCCATAATCTGCGTACTTTCTGTTTCGTTCCAATGATTATCTTCGATATTGTTGCTTTTCCAATAGGAAAAAGTTTCTTCTGACGTGGAGAATATCGAATGGTTCGGATGCTTCAATCTGAGACAATTCAGTACCTTTTGTGCGATTGTATCCAATGATGCACTTACATTCGTGTAACATACATCTTTTCGAGGTTGAATACGTTGTGCTATGAAAGTACATGTTTCTTCCAAAAGCTGTTCTCTTTCAGGTTTCTTTATATATCTGTCCAACTCATTTCGTATCGAAGATAGCTTCTCATAGTGAGACATTTCTATCTTGCAAAATTCTTGGATTGAATTGCGATCAATTTTCCTAAAAATTTATATATATTAAATTATTAACTAATGAATAAATACAATAAATTGTAATAATAGTAGCATTATAATATATATGAATATCCTACTGTGGAAACTGTGTTAACAAGCATTTAATCTCCTCAATATAAAACATACATTTCAGCACATTTATAGGCTTACGTGTACGTCTAAAAACAAGTTCATTTTCATTCAAACGATTTGCATATTCATCGAAATTATCACTGAATTTCTTTACATCATCGAATTCCAATACTACATTATTAATTAAATCATTGAAATAATTTTGATTTGATATTTTATTGTAATAATAATCATGAAAAAGAATTAGAGACAAATAATTTCGCAATTGTGTCGCAGAATTTATGCCTATTGTGACAAAGTTTAAGTTTTCTCCATCCTTTGTTTTTTTAAGAACATCATATCTTTTCTTTGCATAGGGCCATCTAAAATACGACCATAAAATATTGTAATAAATTTTTGATAATGATTCTTAGTCTTGTGTCGAGATTAATTTAAAATTAGCTGGATAAAGATCCTAAAAAGATAAGGATCCCTTATAAAAGGGATACAACATCATATGTATTTATACTTTTAATTATAAATTTTCATCGTATTTCTGTCTACTTTAAGAATTCTTATGTGCTATGATTCTAAACCAGATTTATCTGAAAATTATTCTAGATAAATAATATAGTAAAGGTAGTACTTTTTTTTATGTACTTGTAAGATGCAGATATAAAGATAATACATATTTATATTATCTATATGCAGATAAAACGACGCCACAGTTCTTCCATTTAATTTTATTTAGATAACACACAGCAAACTTTGATGATAGTAAACAATATGATTGCACAAGTAATTTTTCAAATTAATAAATTTTTTAAAGTAGACAATTCAAAGCATGAGTATATATATGTCATTTCTTTTTGTACTTTAATGAGAAAAAGAAAATATATATTAGTTAATTTTAATTTGTAATTTAATTTATACTTTTCACATTTTGATTTCAATATGTATATTGCATAATTTTATAAGTGTATTCTGTATGCAGTTAATAAACATTAATGTGCTTATGTGTATGTATGTATAAATTAAGTTTTTTTTAATATTTTGTAGAACAATTTTTTCGAAAGCATATTTACAAACAATGTCGACTGTGCTTATATATGTCACTTGGCATGTTTTTAATGTTATAAAGATTTTATTGTGATTTTAATGTTATTTATAAAAAAATATCAAATCTGTTTGTTTCTATCACGAATATATATCATATATATAATTTTTATATTTAAAAATGCAATTAATATATTGAAGAATACACATTATAATAAATAAACCAAGTTACTTTTATGTTGTATTTTTAATAATAAAATCTAAAAAGAAATCATTTAATGACAGAATATTTTTCGACATATATATATATAGGCTGATTAATATTTATTTAATTAATCACACAACGTTTCATATAATTTTTGTTATCTCAAGTGTTACTGTTAAGTGTGCGAAGGACCAAAATTATATCGACGAAACACCGTGGTCGAAACGTTGTGTGATTAGTTAAATAAACATCAATTGACGAATGTCGGTTGAAAAATATTTGGTCTTTTAATTTTTGACAGTATATAATCTATTTTCCTTTATCTGTTTTTATATTATTTAAGTTTATTTTTTTACACTATATTTTCAATATTTTTTATTTATTATATATATATAATATACGTTCTTCGCAGAAGTGATATACATTGCGCGACAGGCGTTAATGAGACAAAATAACAAAAAATGTACAAACCACAAGAATTACCTTTGAGATAACTTTTTTTCCAAGAACTTGTCATATGTGGCTGCATAACGAAATTGCTTGCACACGCATCGAAAGTTGATGATATCTTCAATAGTGAGTACATTATCGTCGAGAATGTGGCTTATCATCTCCTCTGGTAAGCACGTTATCTTATAATCAGACATTATGAGAAACAAAACACAAAAAAGGAATGTAAATTAAAGTGGTTGCAATAAACTATTCGCGTAATTCCTTGCTTTTCGCAGTACAAGAAATGCGTCTGCCGATTACGAAGAGCACAGATGTGTGTTTGATGTACACGAGAGACGTTTTCCACACTGTAGACGTTCTGTTTTTATTATAAAATTTGACCTCAAATTATAAAGCCTTATTGTTTGTTTTCACTAAGATACAGGTATAAGGATTTGTTACGACATGCGCAGAAAATGTAATTTAGATCTAGCAAATTTACCAGTTTTTCTTATGCGCTTAAAAGATAGAACGTGGTAAATAACTTATTTATTATTTATTTTATTATCACTATTTATTTATTTATTTTTTTTTTATCATTTAAGCTTAATTAAAATAATTTTTTTTCAAATATGTCAATTATTTTAAATTTCCATGTATTTATATTATGTATTATTTAAGTTTAATTAAAATAATATTATTTCAAATTATTAATTATTTTATTAAATTTTACTCATTTTCATATATTTATTTTTACACTTTACAACTGCAGTGCTATGCATTGTGTCGACTGTTTATTTTAATTTGGAGTTGTAATAATTTTGTGAAAATCATGGATACGAGATAAATATGGATCGCAAATAATATGAGTTTAAAACAAAAATGAAAAAATACTTTTACCTAACGCGTGGCGTTTATTTTTTGTTCAAAATACAAAATTTAACGTATTTTTGCACAGCAATCTTAGAATTGCATGAATTTACAATAAATCTGCAATTATACTAATATCATACAAAATCTAATATCATTTATAAGCTTTTCTCGTTTCCTTCAATACAAAAGAATTATGTATATTTCAAAATATATAAATCATTGTCTTTTATTAACATATCTATTTATACTTATACAAATGCAACACTATCGATTATAAAAGTTTCAAAATAATATATATTAATAAATGGTAAATTTTAATTATGTTATCTTTTGCATATACTTAAAGTATTTAAAAAAGTTCATAAATTAATTAATTTATCTAAATTTTTAAATTTATATATTTTACTGCACTAATTCAAATTCTTACAATCACAATTTTTCTTATTTTATTGTTTATATTAATTAATACAATAAATATAGCAGAGAATAATAAATATATTTTATTCGTCGTTGATTCTCAATTGACATTGCATACAAAAATAGGGCATAGTATTTATCTACAAAAGTCGAACATATACATGTATATATTTATATGTCGATATAACATCTGTTTATTATGTTGGTCCATGCAACTACGGCATATTTTCCGTTTTTATTTATTTATTCTACTATTTAAAACTAAATATAAGACACAAACTGTAAAATTTGTACTTTAATTGATTTTTTGTAATGAATAAATGTCTCAATAAACACTTAACCACGTTAAATGATAAAAAATTGTATATTATACATATTGTTATCTAAAAGAATTATTATCCAAAAGAATCTCACAAAGTTCAATATTTTTACAATTGTATATATATTATATACTAATATGCGATTGTTAGTGCGCGTATGTTCTTTACTTATTACAATCAATTTGGTGTAATCGCAAAGTTTTTATTGTGTTCCGTTATAAAATCTATAACAGTATTTTTTGTTAACATCAACATCTAAAAATTAATTAAACATGAATAAAGACGACATGTAAACAAAGATCTAATTATAAATTTAAAAATGAGAGATTCTACATTTCTTTTCTTTCTATATACATATAGTGAATAAATGTCTCACTAAACACTTAAACACGTTAAATTATAAAAAATTGTAAATTATACATAATTGTTATCTAAAAGCATCACAAAGTTCAATATATTTTTACAATTGTATATATATTATATAATACAATACATGATCCGTTTTCTGTTTAAATTATACATTTTACTTTGACTAATCCCAAATCTGTTATTTCATGATTCATTATAAACTTTTCAACGAAATTTTTTAATATCAACAACATCTAAAAAAGCAAATTAAACATGAACAAAGATTAAATGTAAACAAAGATCTTATTATATAAATAAAAAAATGAGAGACAGTACATTTCTCTTCATCCTATACATATTTATTGTAATTTATTGATTCTTTGTAAATTTACAAGTATATTTTTAACTTAAAATTAATATAAATAATAAATAAATAATTTTCAACCTTTTTAGTTGTTATTGCGAGGTCGCGAAAGCAATTTGTTTGCATCCTGTACACTGATATATGATAAAAAAGACAATTCGGAAAATTCTCGTTTTTATGTGAAAGCATTGTGCATTTTTTAAACTACTTGTGACGCTGTAAACAGTTAAAATATTATTTTAATCCTTATAAAAATATTTATAATAAAAATTATATATGTATGCGTATAAGAAAAAAAGAAAGATTACCGAAAAATGATGATAATGTCGAATCTAATGTATCTATACTTACAATTTCGGTCTCCAAAATATACAATAGCGAGGCCAAATAAGTATTATATCGCAACGTAGACCAAGTCTTCTAGCCACGCTATGAAATATTGCAAATATAATGATAGCTTGACCATGTTTACTTTGTAAAATCTGTGCCAGGTGCAATACAGAATAAATTAATTTAAGCGAGAGTATATTAAGAACAATATATAACATATACATATATGTAGCCCATAATTATATATGTATTATAATCTATAACTTACATTATTTATACACAAACATTTGATGTCTACATTACGTGAGTAGCTACATGGTCGAAAGTTCATGGTACCACATATATATTTCTTAAGTGTATCCATAATCTGCGTACTTTCTGTTTCGTTCCAATGATTATCTTCGATATTGTTGCTTTTCCAATAGGAAAAAGTTTCTTCTGACGTGGAGAATATCGAATGGTTCGGATGCTTCACTCTGAGACAAGTCAGTACCTCTTGTGCGATTGTATCCAATGATGCACTTACATTCGTGTAACATACATCTTTTCGAGGTTGAATACGTTGTGCTATGAAAGTACAAATTTCTTCTAAAAGCTGTTCTTTTTCAGGTTTCTCTATATATCTGTCCAACTTATTTCGTATCGAGGATAGCTTTTCATAATGAGACATTTCTATATTGCAATATCTTTCGATTGATTTGCGTTCAATTCTGTTAAAAAATTTATATAATGAATTATTAACTAATGAATAAATACATTAAATTGTAATAATAGTAGCATTATAATATATATGAAGATCCTACTGGAGAAATGGCGTAAACAAACATTTAATCTCCTCAATATAAAACATATATTTCAGCTCATCTATAAGCTTATCTGTAGGCTCAAGAAAAAGTATATTTTTATGCAAACGCTTTACATATACATTGATGTTACCCGAGAATTTTATTACATTATCGAATTTCAATATATTATTGATTGAGCCATTGAAATAATTTTGTTTGATCTATTATTGTAAAAATAATGGTAAAAAGAATTTGAGACAAATAATTTTGCAATTGTATCGCAGAATTTATGCCTTTTGTGACAAAGTTTATGTTTCCTCCACTCTTTGTTGTATTTAGATTTTCATATCTTCTCTTTGTAATAGGCCATCTAAAACACGACCATAAAATACTGTAATAAATTTTTGATAATGATACAATGTTGTGTTAAGATTAATTTTAAATAAACTAGATAAAAACGAGATAAAAATATGTAAATTTGTTTTAGATTAGATGAAGATAATTTTGTTTTAAGTATGTTTGAAAGTATATCTAATGAAAGATAAAATTATATGAAGATTTATGTAAATAAATTTTTAGATAATAATTTTTAATACTGCTTATGTAATCACAGTTATACAAAAATATAAATTATAAAAGGGATACAACAATATATGTATTCATATTTTTATTTATAAATTTATATCGTTTTACTGTCTATTTTAAGTATTTTTATGTGCTATGATTCTAAACCAAAATTATTTGAATATTATTTTAGATAAATAATATAGTAAAGGTAGTAATTTATAAAAGGTAGTAAATTATATTTACAAATTTTGACTCTAATATGTATATTGCGTAATTCTATATGTGTATTCTACATGCTATTAATAAACATTAATGTTCGTGTGTGTATATTTAAAATTTTTTAAAATAATTTTTAGAACAAATTTCCGAAAACATATTTACATTCAATGTTGACTGTGTTTATAAATGTTACTTGGCATGTATTTACTTTTATGAAGATTTTATTATGATTTCAGTGTTATTTATTAAAACAACCGATAAAAAATATCAATTCTGTTTGTTTTAATGACGAATATATATCAAAAATATAATTTTTATTTTTAAATACAATTAAATATATTGAAGAATACACATTAAAATAAATAAGCAAAGTTAATTTTACATTACATTTTTAGTAATTGAAAATCTAAAAGAAAATATTTAATGACTAAATCTTTGTCGATTGATACAGGCCAATTAATATTTATCTAATTAATCACACAACGTTTTATAGAATATCTGTCGTTCTCAAGTGTACTGTCAAGTGTGCGATGGACCAAAATTATGGTCGAAACACCGTGGTCGAAACAATGTGTGATTAATTAGACAAACATCAATTGGCAAGTATCGGTCGAAAAATATTTGGTCTTTTAATTTTGACAGTTGAAAATTATGAATTCTTATCAGTATATTTAACGTTTACATTCTATATATATATATATTATTATATATATATATATATATGTATATGTATATTATATATGTATATATATAACGGTAGAGTTTGCCAAAATTATTGAGCAATAGAAAAAAATGAAAGCGAATAATTTACTATGCAACATAAATGCAACATACCTAATATTTTTAATATTTTTTATTTATTATATATTTATAATATACGTTCTTCGCAGAAGTGATATACATTGTGCGACAGGCGTTAATGAGACAAAATAACAAAAAGATTTACAAACCACAAGAATTACCTTTGAGATAACTTTTTTTCCAAGAACTTGTCATATGTGGCTGCATAACGAAATTGCTTGCACACGCATCGAAAGTTGATGATATCTTCAATAGTGAGTACATTATCGTTGAGAATGTGGCTTATCATCTCCTCTGGTAAGCACGTTATCTTATAATTAGACATTATGAGAAACAAAACACAAAAAGGAATGTAAGTTAAAGTGATTGCAATAAACTATTCGCGTAATTCCTTGCTTTTTGCAGTACAAGAAATGCGTCTGCCGATTACGAAGAGCACAGATGTGTGTTTGATGTACACGAGAGACGTTTTCCACACTGTAGACGTTCTGTTCTTTATTATAAAATTTGATCTCAAATTTTAAAGCCTTATTGTTTGTTTTCACTAAGATACAGGTATAAGGATTTGTTACGACATGCGCAGAAAATGTAATTTAAAACTAGCAAATTTACCAGTTTTTCTTATGCGCGTGAAAGATAGAACGTGGTAAATAATTTATTTATTATTTATTTTATTATCACTATTTATTTATTTATTGTTTTTTTTTTATTATTTAGATTAATTAAAATAATTTTTTTCAAATATGTCAATTATTTTAAATTTTCATGTATTTCAATTCAATTCAATTCTTTATTCGTCCCCTAAGGGATTGAAGGCGCTTTTTGAAGGAGCGTTCCCCAACCTTACAACCTCTTACAATGTTACTTATATCTACTCTTAACTCTACTCTTACATCTAATTTACAAATAACTTAATTCTACCTTAACCTACTTATCTACTACTTTAGAGAGAGAAAGAGCCGTCCCTACCTATCGTTTCGCTTCGGCTTCCGATTCCCCATACATTCTCCACCACCTCATTCATACCTCACTCATTCTCCTCCTCCTTCTTCCTCCTTTTCCTCCCCCCTCCCTTCCCTCCTCCCTCTTCTTCCGTTCTCCCCTCTTCCCTCTTTTTCTCTATTTCTCTCATCCATCCTTCCCCTTTCCTCCTTCCTGCAGTATTTCCTTCATTCTTTCCCACCAGTTTCCCTTCCCCCTTCTCCCCCACATTCTCCTATCACATGCTCCCATGTTTCATTTTCTATCCCGCATAACCTACACCTTCTTTTCCCCTCTTCTTCCCAGTATCTCGCCCCCCTCATCTCATTGTTCATTCTGAACCTGATTATCCTTCTCCATCTACTTTCCCCCCATCCCTTTCTCAGGTATTCCGGTAAACCCTCCTCCTTCCATTCCCCATACCATCTATTATATCTCGACTCTCTTATCCTCTCCCATCTTTCCTCCTTCTGCCTTTCCCTGTCTTTCTGTTCCCACCCCTCATATACTTCCTCTCCCCTTCCCCTTTTTCCTCCATCTCTTTCCCTCTATTCCTCTTTCTTCCCAGAATTTCCCCTCTCTTCCTCCCACATCGTTCTTTCCTTTCCTCCCCTTATCCTCTCTTTCATATCCTCAAAACATTTCCTCGCTAAACTTCCTCCCCTTCCTTCCTCCAACTTCCTCTCATACCCTACCGCCCTCCTTCCTGCCCTTATCCTAAATTTGTCTTTTCCTATCTCCTCTCTTACCATATACCCCGGCGTGCACCAGTCTACTCCTAACGTCCACCTAATCCATCGCTCCTGCATTGCCTCCACCTCTCTCCTCTCCTTCCATCCCCATATTTCCGCCCCATATTCCAACACCGTCCCCACCAACCTTTCCATTAGCCATACTCTTTTCATCCAGTCTCCTGCAAACCTTCTCTTTCCCATTCCCCACACCTGTCTTATCACCGCTCCTGCTTTCCTAACTCTGTTCTTTACCTGCGCCTCCTGCCCCCCGTTCCTCTGTAGCTTATACCCTAAATATGTGAATTCTTTCACTTCCTCTAACCTTTTTCCTTTCCATCTCCACTCCACTCTCTTCATTCTTCCTCCCCTCCCTTTTTAAACCTCATTACCTTTGTCTTATCCACATTCACCTCTAACCTTTTCTTGTCCATATAACTTTCCATTTTCCCCACATATGTATCATCCCTTCTTCATCCTCCGCCAACAGTACCATATCATCTGCGTACGCCAAACAATGCACCTTTTCCCCTCCCAGTTTCACCCCCCCCCCCAACCTCCTTTTCTTAGCACTTCCTCTATATCCGCTATCAGCAAACTGAATAAGTGCGGACTCATTGGGCAACCTTGCCTCACCCCCCTTGCCGTCCAAAAATTTCCTCCCTCCTCCTTCCCCACTCTTACCTTACTCCTCGTTTCCCTGTACACCTCTTCTATCCTACTCCTTAATCCCTCCCTCACTCCCTCCTCTTCATTGCCTCCATTAACACCTCCCTATCTACCGAATCAAACGCCGCCTTCAGGTCCATAAATGCCGCGACTACCTTTCCCCCCTTCTTGTTTACCCTCTTATTCACCAGATAGTTCAACACATAGATACTATCCATCACCCCCATTCCCTTCCTAAAACCTGTCTGACTCTCCGGTATCATATTCTTCCCCTCCATTTCTTCCTTTAACCTTTCAGTTAAAATCCCCACGTATATCTTGTATAGCGTTGGCATCAATGTTACTCCTCTATAGTTTTCCACTTTATTCCCCGTTCCCTTTTTCAACAGTGGCACTATTATCCCTTCTTTCCACCTCTCCGGCCATCCTTCTCCTCTCCATACTCTGTTGCACATTTCCCATACCCACTCTTCTACCCTCTCCCCTCCATATTTCCATACCTCACTTGGTATCCCATCCTCCCCCGCTGCTTTTCCTTTCTTCAGTTTTCCCAGCATCCTCTTCACTTCCTCCCTGCTTATCTCCTGCTCCTCATCCCTCTCCCTTTTTTCTTTTCCTCCTCTTACCACTTTTA